GTGTGTGTGTGTGTGTGTGTGTGTGTGTGTGTTTTTTTCTTTTTTTCTTCCTTTTAGGGGTGGTGGTAGGGGGCGTTCAGTACAAAAAAATCTCAACAAAAGACCTCCGCAGAACATTTTTCCATTTTACATAAGGGTAAACAGCAAACTAATAATGTCAAAGTTCATTTGAAACCATCATCAAAAACGTTCTGTCGTGTCAAAACTTTTGATCAAAAGTCAGTCGACTGGTAGCTTATTCCAGCTTTTTTTTATTTTTCTCAGAGATATAGGCCTACGTGTTACGGTTTTAACATGATTACTGCCAAATAAACATTCCTTGTTCATCCTTAACAAAATGAACGAATACTGAACGAACAAGCAGACAAGCACGCATGGACACAGGGCTGCCAACTTTTACTCATTCAGCTCATTCACTGTTCTCATTTTCTCATGCCACATGTCTGTTTTCTCACGCAGTGACAGTGACTTTTGTATGAGTTCTTCTTTTTTTTTCTTTTTTTTTTACAGTTAAGCAACTTCAGAGAAAGAAGAGTGCTGTTTTCCCGAACGTTTAATAAATGTGTAAATGTGATGTAGATTTTATACAGTTCAGAAGCAAGAAGTTAATATTAAGTGACTTACATTTTAGACACAGTATTGTCAGTTTTTGAAAAAAATCCAAATTAACCCACAGCAGAATTGTGGCTCATCTCCGAGCAACACAGGTGTTCGCTTCCTGAATTAATCAATATTTTGAACAAGCCAATGATCCAATTAGGCTACATTACCCATTCGTAAAATCATCAGTCACTTTGTTCCTGAATGAATCAGTCCTTTGAACGAATTGAATGATTCTATGACTCATTTAAGAGAGTGGCTTGTCGCCACCTACTGGCGGTTTTAGTTTAATAGTTAAACATAATTTATCCCCCCCCCCATATTTTTTTCATATTCCTATGTTCAAAATGTTATATTTAAAACATTAATTTCATAACATTATTTATGAAATTATAATTGTTTTGAGTGCATTCACGCCACCCTTGATCTGCATTAAACAGTCTGTGTAAATATATCTAATGCTACTTAAAATATTTATTCAGAACATCTTAAGTGGCATTTCGCATTGCCATGTTGGCAGTGCATTAGCCGGCACCGACAACAAACCACAGCCAAAAAAAGGAAAAAGTCGGCTACATGAAATGGCAGCTTTGTGGTTTTTCGAGCTGCATATTGCACAACCATATTTTTATGCATTGTGCAACCACATTTAGGTTCTTAGCAGTTATGCACTAACATATCTATATAACTATGGTCATGTGCAGTGTTGGGAAGGTTTCTTTGGAAATGTAATAGGTTACAGATTACAAGTTACCCTAATTAAAATGTAATAAGTAGTAACTATTTCAATTGCTTTATTAAAGAAATGGAACTGATTACATTTGATTAATTTTTAATTACTTTTCTAAATTTCTAATGCTTTCAACTGTTAGTCATATTCAAACATTTAAACCAGGCAGGGTTAACCTTACATAGTGTTCAACACCGCAAGCCCCAATTCCAGAAAAGTTGGGAAGTTTTGTAAAATGCAATAAAATCAAGAATCTGTGATTGGTTACTTCTCTTTAACTTTTATTTAATTTGAAAAAGATTTCCAAAGTTTTCACTGACCAACTTAAATGTATTTTGTAAATATAAACAAATTTTGATTTTGATGGCTGCAACACACTCCAAAAAAGTTGGGACAGAGGCAAAATAAAAGTGAAAAGGTTATAGAATATCCATTACAGAATATCACAGTAAGCAGGTGATTTGGTAATAGGTGAGTGTGTCATGTTTGGGTATAAAGGGAGCATCTCAGTCTTCCTCTTTGCAAGCAAAGCTGGATTATGGCTCATCACTTTGTGCCAAATTTCATGAGAGAAGTTTCAAACAAATCAAAAATCAAATTTCTCAATGCCAAATCACAAAGAATTTAGGTATTTCACCAACTACTGTACATAATATTGTGAAAAGATTCAGGGAATCCAGAGAAATCTCAGTCTGTGTAGGGCAAAGCAGGAAACCTCAGCTGAGTGTGCATGACCTTTGAGCCCTCAGATGGCATTGGATTCGAAACCGTCATGCTGCGGTGTTAAATATAGCCACATGGGCTCAGGAGTACTTCGAAAAACTGCTGTCACTTAACACATCTGCTGCTGCATCAATAATGCAACTTGAATCTGAGAAAACTATACATCAATTCTATGCAGTGATGCTGCCGGGTTCTCTGGGCCAGAGCTCATCTCAGATAGTCAAAAAGACAGTGGTCAAATGAGTCCACATTTCAATTGGTTTCTGAGAAAAATGGATGTCGAGTTCTCAGTCCCAAAGACCAAGGGACCATCCAGACTTTTACCAGCGACAGATGCGAAAGCAAACGTCTGTCATGGTATGGGGGTGCAGCAGAGCAAACGGCATGAGTGACCGGCATATTTGCAAAGGTAACTGACATGGAGGCATATATTGAAATTGTACAGAGACATAAACTGCCATCAAGTCCTGCCTGCAGTCCAGATCTGTCTCGTTTTGAAAATGTATGGCCAGTCATGAAAAGGAGAATCAGACACTGACGATCACAGACTGCTGTGCATCAGAAGTCTTGTATCAAGTGAGACTGAATGAACATTTTGCTTGCAAAACAACAATTAGTATCCTCAATTCCCAAACAAATAAACACTGTAATTAAAAGGAAAGTTGATGTGACACAGTAATAAACTGTCCCAGCGTTTTTTGGAGTATGTTGCAGCCATCAAAACCAATATTTGTTTATATTTACAAAATAAAATTACGTTGGACAGTGAAAACATTGGAAATGTTTTCTTTGTACTTTAGTCAGTTAAATAAAGGTTAAAGAGAATGAACAAATAACATATTCTTGATTTTATTGCATGTCACAAAACATCCCAACTTTTCTGGAATTGGGGTTGTAATTAGTCTGACCTTCATCACTTGAATTAAGATTATAATAATTTAATTTATTGACACAGCCACCACAAAATCAGACTTACTTTGAGATCATTCTGAGGTTAAATACAGATTTAAAATCATAACAAGAAATAGTTTAATAGCTATGATACTGTTTTTGAAATCAAATCTTTGCATAGCTATGACAGGAAACACTGCAATCTAACAATGCCTGGGGAAAAAACAGTTAATTTAAAAAAATTAAAAATAGGCCTATACATAAACCCAAATAGGAAATAACAAGTTTTCAAATAATCATGTGACATTGATGTCTCATATTTTAGAGCAGTCAATGCAATTTATGAAAGAAATCGATTAAATATGTATGTGTGTGTGTGTGTGCGTGCCTGTGTGTGTGTGTGTGTACCTGGTATTTATCACGTTATGGGGACCAAATGTCCCCACAAGGATAGTAATACTAGTAAATTTTGACCTTGTGGGGACAGATATAAACCCCTTTGTAATCGTTAACATTGTCATAAGTAACTGTAATTTAAATACAAATTTTTTTCTCAGTAACTATAACTGACTACAATTACATTTATTTTGTAATTAAATTACGTAATTCCTTTACATGTAGTTACTCCCCAACACTGGTCATGTGGAATCTGAAAGCGCCACAAATTTCTGCTGGATTAGAATGCCTGTGACTCACAAACTATGCATCCTCACCCATTGTATGATATAGTGTAAAATATTTGAGCTGATTTGATTATGCTTTACGTTACCAGTGAAATTATATCGCCATGCTTAAATCCATTCCAACCCACAAAACATCCTATGTGGGTGTGGCATATGGCCAACATCTGCATTTATTGTCAATATTTCATGTTCATTTGTGCAATTGTTGTGTAGTTTTATTTCAAATCCTCATATGAGCAATAGGTTTGTTTGCAAACAGCTGGAAGTGCAGCGCTCTCGACACCATATAGCCTAGGAAAAGCCTGAGCACAAACTTGTCCTCAAATGCTTTGTGTTCTAAATTCAAGGTGAGATTTGAGAGCTATAACAAAAGACAAGATTATAAATGAACGACTTCGTGTTTGAGCTATTCTATATCTATCACTCCTGTTTCGTTGTCTGGACAGAGCAGGACATTCAGCTAAATATCTTCTTTGGTGATGCATCATCATGTTTAACTACAAGTCCATCTGTTTGGTAATGTCCATCTGTTTACCGTTAGACTCCGATCTAATGGCCCCATCTAGAGGAGCACTTTAGAACTCACAAAAGACATTCAATTACGATTATTATTATTAGTATTAATGTATTAAATTGAGCTAATTTGTTAACATTTAACACAATTTATTACATGGAATTTTCCAGTAGCTCAGAGCAACTAGTCCGTCTCGGTACGATTTCAGCCCTAGCGGGAAATAACATTTATGATTCATACAGCTTCATTAATATTCATCTATCTCCTACTGGCGGAATCTAACCACCTTTTATTACGTAACATTCACGCCATGCTTTTTCTTAGCTGTCAACCACACAGACGCCTGTAAAACATGTAAAGGAAAACAGACTGAACTTAACCCCTCTGCTCGAGCTGTCATTGGACAAACGCATATCACGTGATTGGGTCATACGTCAAACCGCGGTGTGGGACATTTGTTTCACTCAAGCAGAAAAATCGCATATAGAGGTGAATTGTTCTACGCGTATTTAGTTCTATACACATTTTCAAACATTTTCAATACAGTTGTACTATATGTAAGTGGTCAAATTGAGTTCGATCATTTGTTTTGCGCTTTATGGTCTGTGACCTCATGGACAACTTTGGGCCGAAGAGCGACCCCTGCAGGTTAATTTATAGAATATACGCATCTTTTCTAGTTCCTTTATTTCTGTCTTCCCTGACAACCGAGTAATCAAAGTGAATGGAGTTACTAGACCAGATTGAGCTAATATAGGAAAACATGAAACAGGTCAATGTATTTTTTGTAATCAGGCAGAAACAATAGAGCACGTTTTAATAAAATAGAATGCCAGATTGGGCAAAAATTGGCGTATGAATAACAGCGCGATGGTCATCGCTTGATCCGTTTTCTAATGGGATTTTAAAGCAGAATGGATATAACAGAAATCTGGAATGAAAAAGCCTGTATTTGTTATCTTAAACCTATGTAACTTAGCCGTATTTGTTTTACCAGGAGAAATCTGAAATCGTGTACAACAAAATAAAAACATGTTAGCGTCAAGCTAGCTAGTGCTAACCTCGGAGTCGGACTAGCATGTGTGGAATAAGAGACACGGGGACACAGTGATGACAAAACCGATGTAAGTTAAACCGACGGACTATGAGCTCATTTGAGTCTCAAAACAACTTAACTTCACGTAGGAAAAGTATATTTGTATTTGATCGACCGCTGGGAAACTTCAAAGCTGGCCCGTAAACACCAAGGTAAGTTAAACCAGAACAGCTAACTTAGTTAGCCAAAACTCGCCGTTTTGCTTAAAGTTTAATTTCTGCTTCATCCGATTACTAACAAAGTAAACATGTCCATATCGGAATAAGTGTATGCAGTCTGTTAAACAGTTGATGTCACCGTTTTGAAGTCATGTTTTTGTCAGCTAACTTGGCTAGATTTGTTGTCTGTCAGGTTGATGTGCTACTCAGTCTGCCTAGCTTTTTGGCTATTTTTGTGTTATTTGTCAGCATACAATCGTTACGGTTAATCAGCAATGGGCTTCATGTCAGTCACTGTTTCTTCATTAGTTGAAGTTTCACCATCTGTATTATCAATTTCTAAGCTTTGCTCCCTCAGCCAGGCGCTGTTCATGTTAACGTTAAGTTAGATTTTTAACAGTGAACTATTAACAATATAAGGAACAAGGATATACATGGAATACATTAGTCGGCACATTCTACAAATATGTTGACGTCATCTTATTAAACATTTTAGTTCAAAAAATTCCAAAATTGGTGACCAGGCAATTAAAGCAACATTTTAAGCAATTGTGTGACAATAGCACTGTTTTCTTGATCAAACAGACAAGAGATTAAAAGAAGCTACTTACTATTATTATACTTACTATATAATAAACGTACTTATTATTATACTGCTAAGAATAAGTGAATTGTTTGTGTTTTTTTGTATTTGAAAGGCTTCATGTAGAAGTATCAAGTGTGACCTTGTGCACACAGTAGACAGACTGCTTTCACTCTGATTCCAAAGTTAAAGTTTTAACAATGAAGGTGAAGATCTACTGTCTTTAATCTTCAGCAGTTGTTTTGTACAAGTTCATTATTAATTTTGTAGTTTTTCCTGCCCTTTAACTCTTAAGGCAAGACATCACAAGTGAAAAAAGGTATTTTTTAACGAATAGATATCACTATACTTAACCAATTGATTAATAATCACAGTGCAATAAGACCGTTGTTTGTGTTATAAGTTTTCTGAAATGTTATGTTTAAATATGCAAATGATGCACACTAAATGATTTACTAAATGTGCACATTTCCAGAACAGAAATCTGAACATTGGACATATTAGAGTTAATGGTTTTTGGAGGGGACTTTGAATATCCCTTTTTATGACTCGGAAAATAAATAAATCAGAGAATACTGTCAAGAGTAAAAAAAAATCATGTTTTTCAAATGTTATATAAAATAGATTAGGTAAATGATATATGAACAAACCCCTCTAAAAACTTCAGAATATAGGCAAGTACTACTGTGTGATAAGTGAAGATTTCTGGCTCAGTGTATGTGAATTGAAACTTACAGATGCAAATAGATAAACTGTATTAAAATAAACGCTTAAATGTGTATTTTGGAAATGTTCTAATCTGAAAGAAGACACTTTTGGAAGCCTAATAGTCCAACATCTCAAAATTGACCTGTGCATTAAAAAAAAACAATGTTTTTTTTCCTCATAGTGTCTTGCCTTAAAAACAAAGACGAAACAACCGAGAGGTTCAGACACTGGAATGCGTGTCTGTCAAAACCTCCGCACACTCTGACTAATTTAGTTCCTCTGTGCGGGCCGCCTCTAGCATGCAACCTCAGTACAATGCAGACAGGCTGAGAACCTGAACGACTGGTTGCTGACAAGTCTGAACAGTGGCTCAAAGTGTTCCTGATCACTTCATTTACTGAGCATGTATGTAAGTTAACGTAAAGCCTGCACATATATGGTAGTGCTGTTTTTTCTATGTTATCGTGGTTCAGTAACTACTGAGATTTTTATTTTTTTTAATTGCATTGTCTTTTTTAGTCACACATTGATGTGGTTTCTGCGTAATCCTCTTGTCAGAATCCATGGATTACAAACGCAGTCTGTTTGGTAGGGGTCTCGATCTCCATATGACCAAACACTCACATCTGTTAATCAACGTCTTTCACACTGAGAGCTATGATGAATGTGACCTCATTCATCCAATGTCTAATTGTTTTGTCCCTCATGTTGTTCCAAAACTGTATGACTTTCATCCTTCTGTGAAACACTTTAATTGGTCTATACCAGGGGTGTAAAAACTCGGTCCTAGGGGGCTGGTGTCCTGCAGAGTTTAGCTCCAACTTGCCTCAACACACCTGACTGGAAGTTTCTAGCATGCCTAGTAAGACCATGATTAGCTGATTCAGGTGTGTTTAATTAGGGTTGGAGCTAAACTCTGCAGGACACCGGCCCTCCAGGACTGAGTTTGTGTCTATACAATGGAAGTCAATGTTATTCAATGTCTCCAGATTTCTTTAAAATATATTTTTTGTGTTCACCGGAAGGTTTGGAAAAGACATGAGGGTGAATAAATGATGATAGGGTTTTCATTTTTGGGTAAACTATCCCTTTAAGACATTCTGTAAACACCTTGTAGTCTGAGGAAGTACACTGCCTACCAGATGAAACACAATATATCTTGACCTTTGTGTTGACAGATTGGTTTTTGTGTTTGCTCATGCAAATGGGTCATGAGTGAGAGCATAGATCTCTTCAGTATTTTACGAATAGCATTTATTCATGTCTTAGTGTTTGACATGGCTCATTGCCCAGGTGATGTCCTCTGTTAGGATGTAAGTTATCTGACCTGTCCTTAACATTCATGGGCACAGTCAGTTCTGTGTCTCTTAAGGAAGGAAGATCACGATCCGCATTATTCTTTCTCTTTTCATTCTGCTTTGATACACCATTCTTGTGTGGGTGACCAGATTATGTAAGTTTTGTAACACAGAAGTCTTTTGCTAGATCTTTTTCTATTGGTCATACAATCTTTCCACAGCTGCTTTCTTTTCAGGGTTATCTTATCTTTTTAAGCAAACAACCTAGCAGAGTCTCATAATGGATTTATCACCTCTCACTCTGTGTAGACTAAATATACCACAGACCTGTAATTGCTTATGGCACAGTTTGTGTCTGTCTCAAAAAAGATAAAGGTCATGTAATCGGAAGTGGTGAATAAATGAAAGGCCAGCTAGCTAAGACAAAAGCTACTTTCTGATTCTCTACATTTAAGGATTCTCTTTTCCTGAAAGCATTTGAGCCAGGCCTAAAAAAAAAAAGAATTCACATTTCAAGTGGCTAACAGAATGCAACAGTAACCGCCCACTTTTTCAGCAGGTTCTGCAGTATATTCACATTTATTTTCTCCATAGGCATTTAAAAAACTTTAATTTGAAGCACAAAAGAAGGCATTTAGGCATTTTTATAAGGGTATGAACTACTCATCACGGGAAGCACTGCAGTTGATGTAACTGAATCAAAAGAAATACTGCAACATAAAACTATTAACTTGTATTTTTTACATTACATACACTACCGTTCAATACTGTCATTTTTTTATGTATTTGAAAGTCTCACCAAGGCTGCATTTATTCAATCAAAAATACAGTTAAAATTAACAGTAATACTGAGAAATATTATTACAATTTAATATAAATATATTGTGTCACATGGTAATTTTTCTAATATGCTGATATACTCAAGAAACATTTCTTATTATTAGCAATGTTGAAATTGCTTAATATTTCAGTGGAAACTATGATGCATCAGGATACTTTTAATAATAATAAAAAACCGCATCCATTCGAAAACTTTTGTAATATTTTAAATCTCTACTGTCTCTTTTGATCAATTTAATGTGGTTTTAATGCAGTGTGAACAGCCTTTCTGTGCTTGAAAAATCTTCAGGATTAAATTTTTTTCCCTTTAATTTTATTTGAGTCAGCGGAGAGGTAAGGGGGGTGGGGTGGAGTCAGGAAATGACCCAAGCAGTACTGGATATCAGGTCAGACTCAGGTCATCCGTGTAATCTCTAAAGCATGTGCACTACACACCAGCGATGATGGTCATATTCTGATATACCGTGTTCCATTGAGGCACTGTTGCAATAATTAACATTTATTTACATGTCTTTTGTCTTTTCAGAGGCAATGTCATGTGATGGATGGTTATGAGTATTAGTAGCCAGACAGGAGAACCATGGAACAGGTCGAGCAACCTACCTCAGAAATGAAATGTGACAGCCCAGTAGACGTTGCAGCAGCCAAGGAGCCCCTCATGTTCACAGGAGTTACGAAGGGCCAATCGTCTCCGCGGACAGACTTGAACCCTGTCCAGATTCTTGAAGACACAACAAGTATGGCCGTCCAGGAGGGTGATTCTGCATCCTCGGACTGTGAAGGGATGTCAGACCTGCAGGAGCCGAGCTCAGCGTCGGGTGAGGAGGTGGAGGGCAGCGAGACGTCTGATGCCACAGGATTAGAAGTCTCACCCGGTAGCAAGGGATCGTGGGGGGCCACTCTACAGAATGGAGATGGAACACCACAGGAGAGTCCTCAACAGAATAGTGACACTTCTGTAACAGCTCAAATGTTTCCAGGTAAAACTGCGCTTAGACATCAGAGCCAAGTATTATGGCATCCTGACAGTGAGATTTTTTTTGCCTCCACTTAACCCTATAAATTGGAGGTCGACCGATTGATTGGTTTTGCCGACTAATCGGCACTGATAGTTAATTGCTAGAAATATCGGCTATCTGCAAAAATCCATACCGATAGTTTTTCTGGGTTGTGTCCGTTGCTGGAGCGGCTGAGAAGGTCCGCTGTCATTATACAGTACGAGAGCGGCCTCTAGAGGCGGAATCACTGACACTTTGTGCTATTTGTTTTGACACGTGAGGCTGCGTGCTGCACAGAGCCGGACACTTCAGACGCGGATTTAAAACAGACATCGAAGCGGTGTGTATACAGTATACTACAGTAAATGTTTTCATTCTTTTTTTGTGTTTAACGCCATGCCAGTTTCTGTGGCTATTTTCATGGCGAGAAAATTTATGTCTAAATTATATCAGATTTTTGCTATTTATTTTCGCTAAAAACTGTAAATTGTATTTGGCTTAACTCTGTTAAAGATCTCTTCAAAAGAGTTAACTGAATAAAAAGGTTTTCTCACAGGGTTGTACATGTTTTCATATCATTATAAAGTAATTACATTTGTTGTCTAGATGCTGCATTAGTAGTGAAAGAACAGAAGTATGTTTGCCAACAATGCTGTGAGGACGTGAACATTAGTAGCACCTCAAGAGGTTGAAACAGTTTGACCAAAACACACTCAAGTCTGACTCAAATGTTTGATGTCACGATTGTTACCATCCATTTGCATTAGTTTATATCCAATTGGTCACTTTTATGCATTTGTTATCCATTGAAGTTGCATATTTAAAGCTAGTGACGTGAGAAAGCATATTGATATGTTCATGCAGCTGACCCGAGTCCCTGCCGCTCCACAGATGACCACTCACATAGTTTTCCATTAAATTACATTATATTTGTCCCAGATCGTTGTTCGTATGTAGAATGACTTCACCCAAGGCTGGAAGATTGTGTATTGTGCGTTTTTCAGTGAAACGTTTGCCTTTCTGTATGCTTCAAATAGAGAGCTACAGTATAGATTGTGCTTCCTCTTTCTGTTTTGCCACTTTGTTCATTCTTATAGTGAACCTTTGCCTGTTTGGTGATTAAATAAACTGTTCTGGACAGCCGCTTGAACTGAACACAATGTGCCCGGTGTGTGAAACCTGCGAGTTATAGATGCGACATGCTACGCTTTTTGTCCGGTGTGCTTTTTGTTATTTTGATTTCTATAATCATCAAGTTTAAAAAAAAGTAATAAATAAATAAAAGCAAATAAAGTGTGAGAGTATACATACAATATACATATGTAATTTCAGTGCTATGGCTAGGGATAATAACGATTCACTCAACTCACGATTCGATTTGATTCAAGATTTTTTTAACAAAATTAGATTTAAGACAAATTATAAATTAAATGTGTCCTTGTATTATTGCTTGGACAAAATGCTGCATGTTTCTTTGTGAAATTGAAATATATTATTTCAATGTATATTATTGCTCTTTTGTTGGTTTTGATTGCTTCTATTGTCCTCATTTGTAAGTCGCTTTGGATAAAAGTGTCTGCTAAATGACAAAATTTAAATAGAATGTAAATGTAAATAACAAAACTAAATTGAAATTTTAAAACAAGCCCCAAATAAATAAATGACACAAATAAAAGAAATCTCTTCATATAAACAAACTAAGGCTTAGTCTGTGCTCTTTCCATTTAAAATTAGAGGCAACCACTGCATTTTAATCATGATCCAAACAAAGATGCTGCGTACATGCAACATGAGCAGTTTTTAATCTAAATTAGATTGTATAATTTCGAAATTTGAAGCAAAAACAGAATGGTTCGACTTCAGTTTTGTGAAACTATACAGAAAAACTATCTGCATGAAACCGAAACAGCAGACCAGCTGAATGAGACGCAGATTCACTCTCTGCCAGCAGGTGGCGCTTAAAGCGTTTCCTTGGTTTCCGCTGTA